TAACACTTAGAACTACGAATCGGACACCCAATCAAAGGAAAATTTCAAGAAAACTTTAAAACTTATATTTTTACAATCGGACGTCCAAATCACGTCAAATCAACTCCGATTCTCACCAAATTCGGTAGACAAGTCATAAATATAGACCTATACCGGGATCCGTAACCAAAATACGGACCCAATATCAATAAATCCAATATCAGTAATTTCTTAGAAATCATTAAGCTTTCAAGCTTTTAATTTTTTATCAAAATTTTATAACTCGGGATAGGGACCTCGGAATTCGATTCCGAACATACGCCCAAGTTTCAAATCATGATACAGACATACTAAAATTTTCAAAATACTAATCCGGGTCCGTTTGCTCAAAATGTTGACCAAAGTCAACTTAGTTGAGTTTTAAAGCTCTATTTCCCATTTTTCACATAAAAACTTTCCGAAAAATTATACGGATTGCGCACGCAAGTCGAGAAATGATAAATGGTATTTTTTGAGGTCTTAGAATACAGAATTACTTATTAAATTTAAAGATGACATTTTGGGTCATCACATATACATAATGAATTGATAAATTTATTAGCTAGTGAAATTAAGAATAAAATTATTGACAAAATTATAGAAACAAAGTACTTCTCAATCATACTTGATTGCACTCAAGATGCAAGTCATCAAGAACAAATGTCTTTTATATGACGGGGTGTCGACATCACTGTAACTCCAGTAAGAATTACTGAGTATTTTTTAGAGTTTTTAAAAGTTGATGATACAAGTGAAAAATATTTTTTTGAAGTTATTGTAGATGAGATAAAAAATATTGGACTTGATATTGATAATCTAATAGAATAAAGATATAATAATGGATCCAATATGAAGGGAAAACACCAAGGAGAGCAAAAAAGACTACTCGACATAAATCCTAGATCATTTTATACACCATGTGGTTGTCATAATCTAAATTTGGTACTTTATGATATGGCTAATTCTTGTACCAAAGCTATATCATTTTTTGGAGTAGTACAACGCATATATTCACTATTTTCTTCTTCTACTAAACGATGAAATTTTTTAAAAGATAATGTACCCAGCCTAACTCTTAAATCATTATCACAACACGTTGGGAAAGTCGTATTAAAAGTATTAAAGCAATACGATTTCAAACTCCACAAATAAGAAATGCTTTATTGAAATTAGTAGAAGTTAGTGAGGATCCAAAAACTAAAAGCGAAGGTAGTTGTTTAGCAACTTATGAGCTTGAAAATTTTGAGTTTTTACTGGGTATGACTATTTGGTATGATATACTATTTGCAGTTAATTCAGTTAGCAAATATTTATAATCAAAATATATGCATATTGATGTTGTCATAGATCAACTTAGGGGTTTAATTTCTTTTTTCAAAAAATATAGAGAAGAAGGATTTGCAACTGCCATGATTTCTGCTAACGAAATTGCATATGAGTTGAATATAGAACTCGAATTTCGTAATAAACGTGTAATACATAGAAAGAAACAATTTGATGAGAATGTTAATAATAAAATTATAAAATCTCTTGAAAAATCTTTTAGAGTTGATTATTTCTTATACATAGTAGACCAAGCTATTTTTTTACTTCAAAGAAGATTTGGATAATTTGAAGCATATAAAAATATTTTTGGTTTCTTATTTAGTGGCAAAAAGTACAGATCTCTAGATGATGAGAACTTAAAAAAAATTGTCTTAACCTTGAATGTTCTTTAAAACATAATAGTCACTATGATATTGATGGTTTAGACTTATTTTCTGAATTAAAAGTTTTAAAAGAAATAATACATGTAGAAGATGATACTCTAATCGATATACTTAATCATATAAAAAGACTTGATTCTTTTTCAAATGTTTATATTGCTTATAGAATAATGTTAACAATTCCTGTAACAGTTGCCTCAGCGGAAAGAAGTTTTTTAAAATTAAAATTAATAAATTCTTACTTAAGATCAACAATATATCAAGATAGATTAAATGGATTAGCTATATTATCAATTGAAAAAGAATTATTAGAAGAAATCAATTATAAATAAATTATTAATAATTTCGCGTCTCAAAAAACTAGAAAAATAAATTACAAATAAAATTATGAGTTTTCTTCTACAACAAAAATCTTAGGGCCCCAGATCCCTTATTGAAGTTTGATTTTAGGCCATAAATATCATTGAGCCATCCCTGGAGCATAGTACAACAAGAAATAGGCCTGAATTCCTTAATTGAAGAGGGGTGTTGTATCTTTGGTATCAATGTGACAGTGGTGCAATTGATAGCTTTGAACATCTTAGTTGAGCTAATGATCTGCTGGATCGCATCATAAACATCATTGATGAGCCGAGCTTTTTTAAAGAAGCAGGCATTGAACCCATCACATAATATTATTATTACTATTGTTATTTTAAATGTAAGTATCACTGTTCTGATTGATTATTCTAAACACTTTTTAGCTTTTCTTTCGGTGCGGGGATGGTGTAACACGTGTCTTCAGATGGGGTACTTCCTCTGGCTTTCCAAATAAATCGATTTCTTACTAAAACTTGTTATTAATCCTGCTATCCCTGGTACTTTCTGGTTCAATTTATTAACATTATTACACTTTTGATCATCATTTCTTTGACCTGCCCCTCGGCTTTTGTCGTTTTTGGACTACAATTGATCATTACTCCTTTTTGCCCATATTTACTGTTTGTATAAAGCAAGAAAGAAATATGGACAGTTTCATAATCATGTCAATTTGGATTTTGTTCACATTGCGTCATGAGATACTCTTAGATTTTTCCTATCTTTGTATTTTCTTTTTAATTGTTAAGACAAATAAATATTAACGACCATCTTTTCTACCTACATGTGTTCATTAGTACCTATATTTTCTTAGAAACCCCAATCGAACAAGCCGAATATAAATCAACTCATTGGTTTATGAATGAAATTAAACTACCCATAACAATGACACTGCTATTATAAAACTGAATAAACGAAATTATTACGGCGAGACTATGAATAGCTCGAGTTGCACCAACGAAGTTATCTTTGTCATTTTTCATATTTATGCCAAAGGAAGGTGTCATTAGCATCAGCAAGAACTAAAAAGATATTAACCAAAAAATAGATATTTGGGAACTTATTTTATCTTTAAATTATCTCGAAACAATCTGTGTCTCGTGTAAGCGGACATCTCCTTCTATATGTTCAAATTATGCTGAGGTGACTTGTTTATATTACGACACGCAATCAGTTCTTTTTTCTTTTTTTTTTTGCTTTGCAAAGATCTGACTTAAATTATTTATTTCGAAAGTAGGATTAAAGAAAATATACTGAACAATGCAATTGTCAAATTTGTACACATGCTGAATGCGTGGTTTACCTGTAGACCAAACCAAGAAATTGACCAGTTGTTGCCCCTCCTATTTGAACCAAAATTTTAGTGTTCTAATACTTTTGGGTTAGATGAACTGTCACCTATATATTACGTAATATTTTTATTAACAGAGCTTTCTGCTGATTTTATAATAATTCTCAAGATCAACTTTCCTCTTTTCCCAAAAAATAAAAAATAAAAAATATCGCTCTTGTCTTGGTCTTGATTGGTCAACTTTACTTGTATTGGAAGTACCTTTATTCTTTGATGCAAATCGGGAAACTTTGTAATCATGCGAATAAGTGATTTGATTTGAATACTACTCCATTAAACAAGAGGCAAATGATTCTGTATTTTTCTGTTACTAATTCGAATAGAAATCCTCCACCTGTTGCCCACAAGCAGATTAGGAACTCTCTTGACGTGGACGAATGTGTCTCACTATTTGCCTAATTTTATATTGTTAACCAATAAGATGCTTACACGATTTTTGGAATTATTTGCTTTTTGGCAACAAACTTTTCAGCTTTATCTTTTTAAAATAAATGAGATTACTATAAATACCAACCATAAAGTATTGTATTTTTCTTTTTTAATGAAAACAGCTTAAGAACCCATTCAACAAATGTGAATTCAAAACTTTATTATAGATTTGGCTAGAACAAGAATTACCAACAAGCAAGATGATATACTGTTATTTACTATAATCTCGGCTATTATATTTCTCTAACTTCAAGGATTAGCGTACTTTTTTCTGTTTTTCTTTCCTCTTTTGTTCACTACTGTTAGACTAAAGCTTGCGTGAAAGTTCTCAACTGGTTTGGTACCATTTAATAAGCTTTCAAACATGGTTATTTAAATAGTCGGATTGAATTTGTTATTTTAAAGAGAGAATATTAAATGTGTAAAATCTTATCGATATGTATGCATGATTTAGACGCGTGGCTCCATTTGCATACAAGCAAGTGGACTCTCCTTGAGCCAATCCAAGCTTTTGTTAGATTAATGCATATTTTGATATTTAGCAGCCAAGATATTTTCCTCACTTTTGGGGTTGGTAAGATATTTTCAAGCAAACCTTTTCTTTTGGTTTTCGGTTGTCCCGGTTAGAATTCGAATAATTGGATTTGCGCCGAGTAATTTTACTTATGTGGTAAAATACTTCGAAACCTATACCTGCTTAAGAATATAATGAAATATTACTTCCCACACACCACATTCTTCTAAATATAATTAGGTACCACGTAAAGATTTTCTGAGTGAATAAACAACATCTGATAGGACAGGAATTTTATGATTATTAATTTTCGTCTAGACATTTCTTTGAGTGCATTAATCATTCAACAGACAAAAAATTTATATGAACTCAGATCTAGAATGGTAAATACTTACTTGTACTCCGGTAATTATACTAAAGCATGCATTTTAATTATGAGAGTCACAAATAATTCAAGCATAGATTTATATCACCTAATCATGGATGCGGATAAATTTTTAACGTTCCAGAATTTCCTAGAAATCAATTATGATGCAATGGATCTACAATTTCAGCAACATTCTAAGAAGTAGACCAGACAAAAAGAAAATCAGAAGAAAACAATTACTAATATTGATTTTGAGGATTTTTTCTTCTTCTTGCACATTCGAATAAATCCTTGAAGACTTCGGAGTACATAAATATCTCCTCTACTGTTGCTTTTGAAAGAGAACTTAAAATTCTTTCTTAATCCAAATTATCAAGCCGAGTTACACTAAAACCATGCATAACGACCCCCTCCCTTTTCCTCCAGCCAAAACAAGAAACAAAAAGAAAAAAGAAAGAGTGAAGTAAAACTCAAAAATAAAATCTAATTGAACAAAAATAAAATTCTATCTATAAGGTTATCTTTTTCTTAAGTAGGTTATGAAGCAAGGTTACAACAACATGTGAATTTTCGACATATTGCGTTTTTAAGATTCTTTTATATAGTTTGTCCTGATCTTTTTGATATTTTGCATTTCTTTTAGAGCTTACCACTTCCGATTGAAACAAATAAATATCTAAGGCACCTAGAATAATCAGGGTTTTAGATTGTACAAAGTTTAGTCCGCCAGAAGGCTACAAAACACGTACCCCAAAAGTTAAAAAGAAAAATTAATTAAATGGGGATCTAATTAAAAGGGAAAAGGGGCTAAAAATATCTGAGGACCATTATATTCCACCGACTTGAATCTCCAGCATTGCAAAGAAAGTAGTATAAACTGTACTTATATTTTATTTTCATAATTAAGCTATTGATTGAACCGTGACTTCAGCTCCCTTTTGCCACTACTCTCTCTCTCTCTCTCGCAACATAAATTCCCACTTCTTCCGCCTCTTCCCCATACTTTGAACCCTATCTTTCTGATTCACAAACTGTTTTGCTGCTCTTTTTACCTGTCCATATCCTCTATTTTCTTGGAAAATTTTGATTCTTGTCTAATCTCGTATTCTTTTGTGTAATTTTCCAAATCTCCTTCCCTCAGCTCAAAAACCCTTTTCTCTCAAACCCCAACTGCTAAAACCAATCCTAAATCAATACATTTTGAAAGAAAACTCAAAGAAGTTAAGGCATATATTATTAGCCTTCCTTTGACCTCAACAGCCATTTTGGCCATACTTTCAATTCTATCTAACTTTAATTATTCATTGACTCAAACTTGTAATATCTTTACTCACATTTCTTGAAGATTCAAGGCAATGGACCATTTTGGTTCCATAAAGGAAGAGTTTACTTTCATGTCCAATATGCCTCAACCAATGGAGGGTCTTCATGAGGGTGGCCCTCCACCATTTCTCACAAAGACTTACGAACTTGTCGATGATCCGAGCACCAACGATGTCGTTTCTTGGAGTAGAGGTAACAACAGTTTCATAGTTTGGGATCCTCAAACCTTGGCCATGAATCTTCTTCCAAGGTATTTCAAGCATAACAATTTCTCCAGCTTTGTCAGACAGCTCAATACTTATGTAAGCATTTATTTTATTCTCTATGCCCAATTCAACTTTGAGCACACAGAATATTATATTTATCTAATAGGCATATATAGTAGATATAGGAACTAGAAAGAAGGAGAATTAAAGTTCTTGAGAGTTGAGAAACATTTCAATATTTGCTGATAGAGTGGTTTAGAACTTATATTTCTTTACATTTTCATTCATGTTCCTCAAGTTTCAAGAGTAGCGTTAGTCAATCTGTTGATGACTTAAAGAGTTTTTAATCTTCCAGTGGGAACTTGTAATACATTTGTTGGCGAAATATCTTTAATAACAGTGTCCTTAACACGCCTCACACTTCAACGATTATTGTGATTCGGTTGTTGGAGAATCACAATAACCGTTGAAGCTTTGAGGCTTGTTCAGGGAATTGCTGTTAAGAATATTTTGTGAACAAGATTTAATTTGTTTCTTCTAATGGAGCTTGCTGTCTTTTAAAATTCTTTTTGGTTACAGTCTCTTTGATGGTTCAATGGTTTTAAGTGAGAATAATTTGTCTAGAGAAAACTATTTCTAAAGCTTAATGACTATAAAAGGGAGGTGGATTGTCCATTTTCAGCGGTTTTGTCCATTTTACAAAGTTCCAGGGTTAACATTAATTTTACAGCTAATTTAGCCATTTCACATTACCTTCTTTGCATGCACTTTAGGTTTTGTCCATTTTCATCATTCTTGACGTGTGATCCTTGACATCTAATTCCTAAAGGTCTTGATATATGTCTATTTGTGTTTCAGCCAACAATACTAGCAACTAGTATTATTGGTTTTTCATCTCCTTATATTTTCTTTCCTTACTGGAGGAGTAGGAATGTGAACAATGCAGGGATTTAGGAAGGTTAATCCAGACCATTGGGAATTTGCTAATGAAGGTTTCTTGAGGGGGCAAAAGCATCTATTGAAGAAAATTAGGAGGAGAAAGACAAGTAATAATAATTTCTATCCAGGTGGCAATTGCAATATTAAGTCTTCAAACCAAGGTATGGAGTACTCTTCATGTGTTGAGTTGGGGAGGTTTGGATTAGATGGAGAAATTGATCGATTGAGGCGCGACAAGCAGGTTCTAATGATGGAACTTGTTAATCTTAAACAGCATCAGCAAGCTACTAAATCATACCTTAAATCAATGGAAGAAAAACTTAAAGGGACAGAAATGAAGCAGCAGCAAATGATGAGTTTCTTGGCCAAAGCAATACAGAATCCAAACTTTGTGCAGCAGATAATGCAGCAAAAGGATAAAAGGAAAGAACTTGAGGAAGAAATCAACAAGAAAAGAAGAAGGCCAATTGATCAAGGTCCTAGCAATATTATTGAAAATCTTAATATAAAGCAAGAACTTCAAGATTATGGTGATGTTTATGGATTTGATGATTTAGAACTGGAGGAAGATGACTATGCTGAGAAAGCACATACAGAAAGTGGAGATAAAGCAACTAATGCAGGATTTTGGGAGGACTTGTTGAATGAAAATATTGGTGAAGATGAGATGGCTTTACTTGGTATTGAAGAAGAGGATGAAGATGTGGATGTTTTGTCTGAAATAAATAGCCTTCTGCCTGATTCCTGAATTGTATTAGCTCTTGGAATTATCTGGTTCAGTTACTTGGATACATCATTCATAACTGATTTTTCATTGTTTAGAGTATGTTTACCTGAGACTCAATGTTTTCAAGGAGTCTAGCTTTTGGACTTGTTAGAAATTTGTACCTCTCAATATATTAAAAAATAGACAACTTTTAGTGCTTTTTGTTTTTATTTTAATTTATATAATATTGAACTGCAGTGAATTTAAAAGGAGCAACATTGATAGTGATGATTACTAGTTTGGTATTGAGACGGTAAGTTTACCTGATATTGGGCGACCAGTTAGGTGCTTATTGGGAGGATGCCAATTCTCTTTCAGAAGAAAGCCAATAAATAAGGTGTATGGATCAAGATCTCTTAGCCCTTAGAAATGCCAAATCTATGATGTTCCTTTTTAACCACTAAATTGGTAAGGTTTATTAGCTAGCCAGTATTTATTGTCCTTNCGCAAAATCTATTTTAGTTAACCCAAATACGATTGTTCGACACCGAATGAAAAAATGAAAAACAAATCTAACGCGAAGAGCTGACAGGCGACAACAACTAGTGGGCGGTGCCTCTGCAGCTACCCTACTGATCAGCAATAAGTTACATGCCGCAAAGTGGCGGTGGCTGAGTAGGAATATATGAATATGATTACACGTGCATGCAAGCAGGTATGTAAAATGAAACCGACAAATCGCATCAACTCAATAATTCGAATCAAATTGAGAAAAAAAGTCCGACTATAATTTAATTTGATTGGTTTGGTGATGAAAAAAAAAACCCGACGATATTTGGTTTGGTATGGTTTTAACTAAAAATAGTCAAACCAAAACTAAATCAACCCGATATTATATGTATAAAATTTTTAAATATATTTAATACATAAAAATATTTATTATAGTGTAGTTTATAAATATTTCTTAAATTTTTTTATAATTTTATATTTTAACGTATTATTTCAAGCTTGGGCTTATAATTTTTGGATGCTCCAATAAGTTTTATAGTCCATAAATGTTAGTAACTCAAATAAATCCTAAACCAAAATCAAATTAATACTAATGATAATAAAAGATATTCAATTCAATTGTACTATGAATGAAAATAGTGTTGAATATCTATTTTTTTAATTTTTCCATGGTTTAAATAAAATGCATAACTTATTATTTTTTAGTGTTTAGTCATGTAAATAATAAGTAGTACTTATTAGTCGTACTTATTTTAGCAACTTATTAGTAATTTTAAATTATGTTTGTTTTTATTATGGCTTGTTAATTATATTTATTTTATGCGATTTACTCATCTTAATTGTTGAATATTTTAGTACAATATCATGAATCATCTCATATTTATGTTATTTTATTTAAAAAATACCTTATATAGTTCTGTCTTACTAGGATTACAGAAATATTTGAACCACAAATTCTATGTTTTGTGCTATAGAGACTTTATGATAAAAAAACTCGAAACAATCTGAAAACCCGAAAAACTCGAGAAAAAACGAGATTTAAAACCCGACTTTTATTTGTTTGGTTTGGTCTTTAGATTTAATAATCCGATATACTTGATTTGGTTTGGTAATTAAAAAATTCGAACCAACCCGACATATTTAAACCAGTGCAAGTCTCAACAAATTAAATGGGGTCCCCCACAATTTTCCTTTTACAGAAATATACTGGCAAAAAGGTCTCCCCAATTTTGTGCCTACGAAATCGATGTCCACATCCAGCTGCAGTACAACGCTCCAGCTCCTATGCATTATTGTCCCCACCATTTCCTTTTTATAGAAATATAAGCAACATGCCAACCTACCATTGGCTCAATAAATTGATACTTGCAGATATTAGCAGAGATTCCACCACCCATTGTGGGAAAAAGTTGAAAAACAATATATTCAATGAAATTCACAATCTCTGATTGGTCTACATCTCTTCTTTGTGAAAATTATTTTTTCATATTTGAAAATAATTTATTTTTATGTAATAATTTATAACCACACAAAATATATATATCTCATTTTACACCACAAGTTTAAATTTTTTTTTTTTTTTTTTCTAAACTTTATGCTCAGTCAAAATAGACTCACATAAATTATACCGAGGGAGTATATCCAACGTACATTGATAAGGCAGCAATAAAAGGTTTGCACATATCCTACATGATCAGATTTACAAACAGACCGACACATATGCAGATATGGATCTTTGTTTATGTATTTTGAGGTGTGAGGATTACATTTGTTAGATTTTGTCCCAAATCCTTTTTGGCCGAGCTGCAAAATCGGCTTCTTTTGAGAATAATTTTTTTTAAAAGTATTTTTCGAAAAAGTACTTTTAAAGAAAAATAGTTTGTGTTTGACAAATCAATTTGAAAAGTACTTTTGAACAATAATTTATGTTTGACCAAACTTTTCAAAAAATACTTTTTTAAGTGTCAAATTACAAATAAGGACATAAAGCGATTTGCTTAATAGTTAATATTACATAAGTAGATAAATAATTACAAATATTTATTATTAAAGATAATAATTAAGTTTTTTATTTTATTTAAGTAAAATATAAAAATAAAATTGAGAAGTACTTTATTCTTTCAAAATAATTTAAATATATCAAAAAATCATTCAATAAATATGAATGTTCATCCCAAAAGTCATTTTATATTACTTAATAGTTTAAACTAAGTAAGGTTATTTTGGTGTATATAATATTTTGTAAAGGGTATTTTTTGGGAGGAAGAAAAGTTGCAACTACTTCTGCTTTTACTTTTGAAAAAAAGCTATTTTTTATGCTTTTTCAAAACTGTTTCTAGCCAAAAGTATTTTTCTTCCAAAAAATATCTTGGCCAAATACTTCAAATTAAAAATAAAAATAAAAATTTGCATGACTAGAAGCTTGGCCAAACAGGCTATTGTTGTCATTGGGCTACTGAACACTTCTTTTCTCTATCTCTCACTTCCTTTCTATATTGGGAAGTTCTTTATGCTTACTGATAAGTGATTAAGTTCACATGCTCTCTGTGGGGTTTTAAATGACCAAGGAATCTCAAGGGCTTCTTACAGCGTTTTGGAAAAGAGTTCCTTCTACGCACTAAAAAATATTTACATAATTAAGTTGTTTGAAATTAATACAATTAACTCGATTTGATTAATCTGACTTGGGTAATGTAACGACTAGGTTGCTATATGTGGTGATTAGTTAGCGTGATATTTTGCTACAACAAAAAAGACTTTTAACGGCAATAAATATGCAATTTAACGGCAATTACAATTGTCACTAAAACTTTTAACCGCAAATTAATTATTTGCCGCTGTATCCAGCGTCGCTAAAGGCATTAGCGGCAATTATAGAGAGTGTTGGTAAAAGACCCAATTATTGCCGCTAAAACATATGACTTTTTGCGGCAATCTTTTATTGATAATTAACATGGCCACTAAACCTACCCTCCACCTAACCCTTTTATATGGTTTTAATGGCTTTTATAATGGCCGGTAAATATTCATTTTATTGTCGATAAACAGATGTTGCAATGGCCATTGTGATGACAACTAAAATTATGCCTATATTTGCCTTTTATCTTCGCATTTAACCCCTTTTTATTTTTGATAAATTATGCACAAATAGGCAAATACTAATATATGTCTATTTAGCATTCAGTGTGATTCTAACATCAATATTCTCTTTACATATACTAATAAAATATGCTAATATTCATTCTAGAAAGCATAATATATTGAATAAAATTCACAATAATCAAAATCAATCCATAATTTTAGAGTGTCAAGAGTATAAAAGAAAAAGTACACCATTTGAATTCAAAAGCTAGTGTCATTTAGAGTCTAATAACTATTGTCATCAACGCCATATATTACAAGACAGTAGTTAGTGCATTAATACTTCTCTAACTCTTGATATCTCCCACAAGCTAAATCTCTAAATATCACAGCGTGTGACCTAGAAAGATAAAACAAAATAAATGTCACATATAGTTCATCAATTCATCTGTGTAAGATGTATGAACATAATAAAATATCTAAATTTAAAGCATTTTTGCAGCTCCTCTACTAACAAGTTACTTCACATATTGCTACTAAATATTGTCTGGCATATCCACAAACATTATCAACTGCAGAAGATTAACCTATGAAGAGCTAAATTTCCATAAAAGTAAATGGGATGACAAAAGAATATATTACTATTTGTTTGGATTGGAGGCCACCATATATCACTTAATCAGTAAAGACACTCATCAACCAAAAAAAGAAAAAAGAAACGAGCATTTCACTTGATAAATGCAGGTATAATGAAACAAGAGCTCCTAAAATATGAGAGAAGAGAAACAACCTCCATTGAAGATACTATCACTAAACAAACAAGGTTCGCAAGAAATAATAAAAGCATAGTGATAGCTAGCTTCTCATCAAGAACATCTGATAGTCAATCGTTAAGCACATATGGCAATTGAGACAATAATAGTATCAAGGGTCCTATTTCACTTTCATACTAACTCCAACAGTTTCTAAAACTAAGCATTAGGGTAGACTGGAAAAGATATTGATTTTACTTAAAGTTGTCAATAGGTAGGAGCTAAGTTAACAACCACTGTAAAATTCTAATGTACATACATCCAAAATGTATATAAATTAAAATAAATACTGCAATAAAAAAGTACAAGATAATTCGTAGTGAAGACTAACCTTTCTACCAGAAGGGCAACTTCGGTTGATTCACCAATTTTCTCACATGTCCTCTGGTTTGGATTGAATTTTATTACAGACTTAGTGTAACGAGCAGAACAAACTGCTATATGAAGAAGGCAAGGAGTTCTATGCAGGAATCTCAAGCAGCAGAGAGGAAAATAGATATTTGTATACGGTCGAAATTGAGCTCGATTACAACTTGCTAGATTAGGCTTGGGACGTGGTGGTCAAGGGCTGAAGATCGACCTCGAGTCCCATCGAGCTAGAATCCGAGGTCGAAAAGCCTGCCTTCGAGGAACCTTGAGTCCGATATCGGCCTTAACCTCGAGCGAGCTCGGAGAAACATTGTTGAGATAACTAACAGAAGACTGAAATACCCGTAGCCGGTCGGATATTACGGCTGGAATCTCGGCACGAATCAATAAGGAACCGACAATTAGCAAATCAAGAGATCTTTTTCCTTTTATAGAATTGTACCTAAAGTAGGATTCCT